GCATAAAAAGAATAACTCTTGGGCATTAAAATTTTCTTTTTCAGGATAGGTAATACAAGATGACATGTATTTAACTTTAAAATGAACATGTATTATTTTTGTAGCAGGAAAAAAGGCTTTTTTGACGATACATGTTTGTGAGTACATTTGATGACACAACAGTGAGTACATTTCATATTGAGTTTTCTTTAGCTTCTATAAATAAAATGTATATGAATGTTTCATTTTAAAAGATTTTAGGAAAACAAAATCATTCTCATTGAGCATTTAAATATTAGAAATCCTAAAATCAAAACCATGAATATTCAGGATAGTTTAATCGATACCACTTCGAATAATCCTTACACTGATTATTCAGTGTAAGGATTATCCGTCTTATTTCTGTTCTCCATTTTGTCGCCTACCTTTTATTCATTGTTCATTAGCACCTCCACCATTTGGTAAGCAAAGGAAATAAAAAGGAGAACAAATGTAAATCAATTCATTTTGCTATTTGATAAATAGCATAAAGGTTTCTAGAAAGGGGTATTGAAATTACTAACAGGATTATCTGTGAGTATAAATTATTTTTGAAATAGTCCCCAGTTATATATAACTGAGAGTTGCTTATTACAGAAAAACTATGACAAGAACTCTTTTTCAAAAAAGTACACCCAAATGTAATTACTACTAAATGAATAGCACGTGTAGATTCAAAAATCATTATACTCATTTTTGGGGTTTTTTTTGATAATTGAAATTTCTGTTTTAGGCTTTAAAAAAGTACCAAAAGCATGATGAGAAAAGTGCCAAAGAAAACGCAGCTCTAATTGGGCGACTTCTGACAAGTTAACCTGTATCTTGAAACCTAATAGTGAAAATGCTTATGAGGTATTAAAGGAATAAATTGGGCTTTTAGAAAGAAAACAGTTACACCACCACCTTCCTCCCTCCCCCCATGCAAAAAAAATCTCCACAAAGTCTCACTACTGGTTTGCATCCACAATATATAAATAGTTTTTTTCCCCTAATGAAACATTGTTCAACTTTTCAGAGCACGGAAGCAGCAAAGGTCTCTTGTCCATTAATTATTTACTCACGCACATTATAATGCCCAACATTTTCCATCTCCAGACATACTTTAAAATATACTTACATGCACACAAAACACAAATCATGCTCCTTTTCTTCTCCATGAGCACTACGTTGACTACCCCCTGTAAATAGCCACCCATTGGCCTAAATTTGGCAAATGAAATAGGGAAATTCAGAACTATAAGACATGCTAAAGTTTTGTCTGAAAACAATAAAATCACAGGAAGCTTGCCTTTAATAGACTCGCACAACGTTACAGATATGAAAAGGTAGGTTTATCATCAAGTGTGTTCACCACTGCAGATTACAAGTGAATCTTCACGGTTCCTTCATCCACTACTTCAGGGCTCATTCATAACAATGACACTCTGACCTCGTTCCATACCTCTGCTTGTCGATAATCCTGAAGTTTAGCAAACTCATCAGCAAAGTTTTTCAGGCCCTGCTTTAAATTGGGGGTCTCTGTAGAGGCATACATGTTAATTTCATTCACCAGGAGGTCTGCTTTGTCTCGCACTCTGGCAGTTTTCCGCACATAAGCAGCAAAGATTTGGCACAGCTCTCCAAAATGCTTCTCCACATTTGTGACAGCATCTTGCAGTTGTCTGGTTTGAGCGTCCCTAGAGAAAAAGGTGACACAAAAAGCAAATCATTATCAGGGACGAAATGGCTTTCAGCTTCACGTTAATTTGATATGCAAACATTCCGGGGCGTTTTGCAGCTTCTCCCTAGACGGATGCCCCTCCTCTTGGTCCCCAATCGGGCCTGGCCTTAATATCCCGACAGTGGAGGCACACGAAAAGGCCTGGTCCTCGCCGCCGCGTCGCTGCGGGGTGGCGGCTGCTTCCCGGGCATCTGCACCGCCGCGGCAGTGCGGGTACCGGAGCCCGCGGAGCCTGACAGGGGGTACAGCCGGCCCGGCCCGTTCCCGGGCTCCCCGCGGCCTCTGGGGCTCGCTGCAGCCCAGGAAGGTAGGCCCCAGAGCGCAGCGGGGAGGGTCCAGCAGCCGGCCCGCGGTCGGAATTCCGCGCTGGAGGCCCCACGGAGAGAGGCTCCGCTTCCCTCCGCCGAGACCTCATATGTGGGGCACCTTGGGCAGCGGGGGGCCCAGGGTTGTTACCGGTTCTCCAAGCTGCGCCTCCACATCTTTTGCGTCGCGCACCGCGGGGACCCCGGGCCGGCCCAACGACAGGGCTCTGAGACGTCCGGGCGAGCGCTGGGGCGCGAGAGCCCGCCCTCCGCGCCGCCGCGCCCGCCCGCCGTTTCTACAGCAACCCGGCGCGCGCCCCCGTGACCAATGCGGGACTCGGCGAGAGCGCGGCGAGGGCGCCCGGAGGGCCGAGCGGCCGGGGTCCGCCCGCCACTGTGGCGCGTCCTGCCCCGCGGGCTGTCGCGGGGCTCCTGGATCTGCACCTCGCGGACGCCGGTGCCCTCTGCTGGGCCCTTCATCCAGGCCGTCCCGCTGGACTGTGAACAAAGGAGGAAAATTCCAAGCCCATCCGCCAGTCTCTAGGAGGGAGACGCAAAATGAAAGATCAGTGGGGTCCAGGCTCTGCTTATGCGACGTTTAGTCTTAGAACATATGCTCAACTTGTCGGATTCTCCGCGTTGAATCTGAAAATGTGGGCTCTTGGATGTTGCCTTTGGGAGGAGCAGTGCTTACCGCTTCATCTATGACTTTTCGTTTATTCGGCAAATATTATTTATTGAGTTCCTATTTCATGGAAAAGATTGTTTTGTGCACTAGGAATAATTCAAAGGTAAGAAGAAGGGGTCCCTGAAGGGCCTTAGTGATTGACCAGGCGAAGCACTTAAACCATAGAAGTACCCTGAGAAAAATAAATGGGAGACTTTTCTTAGCTTTGAACAACCATGTCCTGTCGGCCTTCTTGGCCTGCATTTATGCTGCTCTTCCAAGTAAATACCTTTAGGCCTAAATTCAGGTTTTCTCTCTCTCAAAAAAGCCTCCCTTGACCACTCCCGCACTTCCAGTGAGAGGGCCCCTTCCTCTACAGTATCTTCTGTTTATCTTGTACTGTCTCCTGTAGCTTAGACTTGGAACTCTTGGAGGCAGAGGAAATTTAATTTTGGTCATATATTTCTCAGCACCTTGTACTGATAAAAGTTTGTTTTGGACAAATGTGTGTCCCAAGTCCTTTATTACCTCTTTATAGAACTCTTTTTATTCTATCATGTTACAGTGTATACCTCTCTTCTCCCCTTCCATTCATTTCGCAAGTTATCTATTGAATGCCTGGTGTATTCCAGATATTATGCTGGGCTCTGAGCATGGAGTGTATATACATCAGAAGAGTATTTCCTCTTATAGAGCTCACAGTCTATTGGAGGAATAGACACTAGTCAAACAAACAAATACATGTGAAATTGCAACTGAGGTATGAGCTACTGTATCAGCTTTTGATGTGTAACAAACCACCACAAAACCTTGTGGCTTACAGTCTTTTAGCTAACTCAGCACTTTGCTCAGCTGGGCTCTTTCATACCGTTCTGATCAGCGGAGGGCTTGTTGATGACCAGCTGGATGAGCTGGGATGTCCTCACTCACAGAGTCAACAGAGGAAGCATGTCAGTGTCCACTTTTGCAACGTAACACAGGTACTGAGGGAAAATACATGGTACCAAGAGAGTATGTGCGTAATACAGAAGTTTGGTTTGAACTGTGTAGTCGAGGAAAGGACTTGATTAAGAAAGTGACATTTGAACTGAGATCCAAAGATTGGGAAGAAGTTAACTAGGTGAAGAGAAAGGGGAAAACAGTCCAGAGAGAGGGACAGTATAGACAAATTACCCTCCCCCAACCCCATTCCTAGCTCTACCCAACTTCCACCTCTTGGAAAATGGCACCACCCTCCAGCTGATTGTTCAAATAAAAAACCTAGGAGTCATTCTTTCTTTTCCCCAGGCACATTGACAATTCCTATTTGTTGCACCTGCCAAATATATCCTGAATCATTCCTTCTTCATTTCTTCTACATTAGCCTAATCCAAACTACTATCATCATTCACCCTTCTTACAAACCTCCTTACTGTTCTCTCCATGTCGTTATGCACTGCAGTGCAAAATTTAAAAAAAATGTAGATTAGACCATGCCAACCTTTCAAAGCCTCTGCTAATTTGTCTGAATGTTTGTGTCTCCCCCAAATTCTTATGTTGGAATCCTAACACCTAAGGTATTAGGAGATAGGGCCTTTGGTAGGTACTTAGGTTATGAGAGTGGAGACCTCATGAATGGGATTAATGCTCTTAAAAAAAGAAAGACTCCAGAGAGCTCCCTAGCTCCCTCGGCCGTGTTACACCAAGAACATAGCCATTAAATGAGGAAGAGGCTCTCACCAAACACAAAATTTGCCAGTGCTATGATCTTGGACTTCAAAATCTCCAGAATTATGAGGAATAAGTTTGTTTTCCATAAGCCACCCAGTTTATAGTATTTTTGTTATAGCAATTCAAATGGACTAAGACAGAATCCCAGTATACTTGAAATAAAATTTTAAATCCTTACTCTGACTATTAAGGCTCTATCTCATCCTTGCCTACCCATCTACCTTCTCTCATTGCCACACTGTGCTATAGCTACAATAGCTTTCTTTCTGTTCCTAGCATATATAAAGCTCATCTCAGTCAGTTTTGTGTTATTTTCTCTGCCTGGAACACGTCTTTTTCGTCACATGGCTAACACCTTCTTATCACATAGAATTCTGCTTAAAAGGCACCTACAGAGTGGGCCTTCTTCTGATCACCTACTTATTGCCACATCACACTATTTTGTTTTCTCTGAAGCACATGTCACATTCTGAAATTTAACTGTTTATATACCATTTCTATCTCCCATGACTAGAATATAGTCTGAATGAAACTAGCACTTGGCTATCTTGTTCACATTATATTTCCCTACCATCACAGTCTTTGACTCACAGTACGAACTCAATAATTAGTTGAGTTTATCAGTGAGTGAGTGAGTGAGTGAGTGAAAACCCCATGACAGAGGAAGCATGATGTGTATGAGGAAATGGGAGAAAACCAATGAGGCTGGAGTGGAGAAGGTGGACATCATGACATGTGATGTAGTTGAAGGGGTAGGTAGGGGCCAGGTCACATAGGGCATTTTGGCCATGCTAAGGAGTTTGGTCCTTGTTATCAGTCACAATTGTCCAGAGAAGCAGAGCCAATAGAAAAACAAACAACGACAACTATATTTATATATATAGTTTTATTATAAAAAATTTGCTTATGTGGTTATTAAGTCCCAATATATGCAGTCGGCAAGCTAGAGATCCAGGTATAAATTCCAATCCAAAAGCTGGCAGGCTCAAGACCCAAGAAAAGCTGATATTTCTGGCTGAGTTTGAAGGCTGGAAAAAACAAATATCTCAGCTTACATAGTCAGGCAAGGAGGAGTTCCCTCTTCTCAGCATTTTTCTTCTGGTCAGTTCTTCAATTGATTGGATGATGCCCACCTACCTGAGGGAGGGCAATGGTTTTACTCAGTCTACCAATTCAAATGTTAATCGCATTCAGAAGCACCCTCACAAACACACCCAGAATAATGTTTAGCCAAATGTCAGAGCATCCGGTGGCCCAGTCAAGTTAACACAAATTAAAGTCATAGTCTTTTTCTGAGTATCAATGTGAAGGTATAGATGTGTTATAGCAAGGATTACCTTATTCATCATGTAACTTAAATCTTTTAGCAAATGTCCCATGTATAGGATAGTAATTGTTGAACAGATATTTATTGAATTGCACTCTTTCAGTCTCAACCCAATATATGGAATGAATGTGTTCTAGGAACCCTCCTCCTGAGGTCTGGGCTTTTTTTTCTTACAACACACATTTCAAAACATGCATGAAGACAACTATTCTCAAGCCTTCACTGCTCAGAGGCACTTTCTTTCTTATAGGCTATGCTTTCTCGTAAGATACATCATCTCTAAGAATAGGAGCTGGGATATGGGGAGGCCAAGTGCCTTGGCCAAGGTTACAGGATGAGATAGTATGGGGTCTGGAATTAAATCTTTTGTCTTCCCTCTCCAATGCTCTTCCCACTGTACCAAGATCAATCAATCTCTCTCTCTCTCTCTCCCTCTCTCTCCCTTTCTCATAATTTTTTGCAAAGTTCTTTAACAAATGTAAACATAAATAAATTATTTTAAGTAATCAATGAGTGCCATTCCTTAATTGGAATAAGGAAAATGTGTGTCCATGATCAATCAATCATTGGGTGTAGTATTTCAAAATCTCTGGTAATTATTGTTCCAGGTTATAAAGACTATAACCTGATTTTTCCATGACTTTTCTTAAATTACTAGTGACTTTTCTTAAAGTACTACATGATATTTGTACATTTATTGTAAAAACAGCATAAACTTATTTTGCATCACATAAAATGAATGCAAATTTATTTAGAATGGTTTAAGAGAAGCCCATCAGAGGCAAAGAGTTACATTAAGTTCATTCACTCATTTATTCAGCACTACTTACTGAGAACTTGTCACGTACTAAGTGCTGGATTTATCATTCTTTAACCCAAGTCCTCTGAATAGGGTGAAAGCAGATACAGAATTGGATCAATTTTGGAAAAAATTTCCAACCTTATTTGGAACTTTACAGGTAATGATGTAGTTTAAATTAGATTTTATTTAAATTATGTTATTATTTTTTCAGTCTTAGTTTTCTCCTCCCCTTTGTCCCATTTTGGAAATGAAGATGTTAAGTGAATAACCATGTATAGTATATTTATTTACTATTGATTATACCTAAACAATATAGCTTCAAATGCAGCTGTTCCATGTTAAGTAGCTTAAGTAAACTGTTTTAATGCTGATAATACAAATAAAACCTCTCTCCAGCAAAGATTTAGTTTTTTGTTTAGTTTTTGCTCTTTAAAGATTCAGGATTTGAGGGGATATATGTAAGTACTCCCTCTAGTAGTGAATTTAGTAGGTAAATTATTTGGTCAAGCACTAGAAGCCAAGCGGATAGAATGAAACTGCCCCACAATTCCTGTATTTTATGACCAGTTTTTAAGTAGAAATCACTTATAACTGGTTTTATTATTGTTATATAAAGAGCATCATTAAGTGATAAAGCACATGGCTTTGATGGGCTCCAAGGTCTCACACCTGGATTTAAAGTCTGGCTCCATCACTCTCAAAGGTTCTTAGAATGCATTGGAATCACCTGAAGGGCATGTTAAAACACAGCTTTCTAGGCCCCAGCCTCAGAGTTTCTGATTCAAGGAGTGTGGAGTGAGAGCAAGAATATGCATTTATAACAAATTCTCAGGTGATACTGACGCTGCTGGTCCAGGGACCACACTTTGAGAAGCACTGTCCTTGACTCCTAGAGTTATGAAACTAAGCCTTATATTCCTCAAAGTTTAGCCATAGGGTTGTTGTGAGAATTAAATGGAGCAGTAGGTGTTGTGGGCTTAGCATGATACCTAACATAGTAAGTACTTCGCAAAAGTTTGCTCCTATTAATATCATAGATGTGCCAGTGTTTTCTATTTAATTTGAAAAATTAAAGAAATATGGTAGAACTTTTTAATAATATTGTTGAGTTAATATTGTTAGCTAAGTAATATCAGTAATTTTAACTATGATTAAGTTCTTTGTGTTTGNCACACACACACACACACACACACACACACACACACACACACTCAGAGTGTTACTGTGCAAAAGGTTGGGCTGCTTGCCGCACAAAAGACGAAAGCCAAAACTTGACAGGTGAGGTTGACGGAAAG